CCACCCCTTTTAAATCTTTCTGATTTGTCCCCGATTATGCAAAATATATTAATTTAAAAGGATAAATCACAGGTCCTGTGCTGATGAGACTGTCTCTTGCCAATTAGACTTGAAGAAAAATAACAAATACGTTACTTCCAGTTGCAACCACATGAAGTGGGACGGACGAAATTCGCTGCAGACAGAAATGAAATATTCCCGCGGTTCTGAGTGAGTACAGCTGGAGCTTTTTGTCTTCACTGACACGTAGTGCACGTGCGACCTGTGGCCCTTTTGCAAGGGCGCCTAAACGCTGTGTAGTCATTTTTTAGCTTTTCGTTGATTTGATTTAAACATAGTTATCGCCCCAAATCTGAGCAGAGGATAAGACACAAGTTATATCAACTTATCAACGCCTTTTCCTCTAATACAGTACATATTGATTTTTACATGATAGCATTTAACAAGGCATACATACTATATTTACAATTATTATATTTTTACTTAAAACCTGTTGCTGGATTTGATGAAAAGTGGCACGTTTCTAAATACTTCTGTATTCGTGTCTACGGACAGATTTTCATTCCCAAATAAAAATAAACCTTAATTTACTGGATATATATTCAACGAGTTTATGTTTTGAAATAGCGCAATTCGTGCTGTGTTAAAAAAAGTTTACATTCTATGAAAAAATAACCAACATCCTCACAGGAATGTCCACAAGCGCATGATGGATTATCAACAATCTTAACACGGAACAAATCATTTTTCAAAGAGCTACACTGATGCCCGAGTTTCGTATGTAATCTATTTAAATTGCGTTCGTCGAAATCATAATAAAAGGTGGAGACGAGTATCGCCACTAGATATAGCAGATTTAGAAGTATTTAAAGATGGTAATGTTCTTATTGCATTGTCTAACGAATTCCAAAGTCGTAAACTCGAAGGCAGAAAGAATAGTTACTTGAAAAGAGGCTGAAAGAAGATATATTGTAATCATATTGGTTCCGTAAATTGTACCGATTGTTGTTACCCACTGTGTTTGGCAAAAGGGCCGATAAATAGCAGGGGGTTAAATTGTTTTTCATTTTATATAAAATATTCAATTTTCGCCTTTTTCTCCTCTCTGATAATGTTTCTAAACCCGTTTCAAAATATAATGAATCATTACTTGTATAAGAAGGCAGACCTGTTATAACTCGAGCCGCCTCTCTTTGTGCTATCTCTAATTTCTCGGATTCAAAAGCAGTGCAACCATCCCATAATTCACAGGCATATTCAAAAACTGGTAAAATGAAAGATTTATATTTTGTTTAAAGTGTCTCTCTTTTCAACAAGTATTTGAGTTTTCGTAAAACATTACTCTTGTTAATAACCGTACTATAAACTGCCTCAACATGACTCCCCCGTTTTCCTTTTGTATTAAAATTTACTCCTAAACGTCTATGAACGTCTGTAAAATTTCAATTTTTCCAATCAAACATCAATTCCAAGTCATCGTCAATATCGTTTGTATTTTAAATAAAAAGAACGTCCGTTTCTTCAGGATGAAAAGAAACCAACCAACGCTTAGCCCACTGATTTAAGGATGCTAGGTCCTTGTTGAAAACCGTCTGTATTTCATAGCATGAAAAAGCAAAATGAAGTAAGGATGAATCATCTGCAAATAATCTGAAGGCCGAATCAAGTACATATCAAAAAGAGAAGCGGCCCGAGTATTGCACTTTGAGGTACGTACACATGCGTCAATATTACCTAGTTCCGAATATGAATTTCCTATTAAAATGTTCTGTTTGCGCTGGTGTAGATAATTTTGAGCCAATGCAATAATTCACCTGAAATTCCATATGCTTCTAACTTTGCTATCAACCCCTGTGCCAAACACGATCAAACGCTTTTGATATATATCACAAAAAATAATGCAAGTATGTTTTCTTTCTTCTAAAGAAATATAAATATTTTAGTCAATTTCAACAAGTTGATAAACAGGAGAATGCAAAGGCATTAAACCCGACTGGTATCGATAAAACAAGCGATTTAAAAATAAAATAAAAATAAATAACGCTCAAACACTTTACCAACTGTAGATGGTAGTGATAAAGGTCTAAAAATAATTACACGACCCATGACGATCACCCTTTTTGAAAAGCGACATAACGGTTGCAAGTTTCCATTTATTTGGATACACAAAGTGACATATTAAAAAAAGTATTTCAAATGGTTTGCAGATAGAGTTAGCAGTATACTTTAACACATGATGACTAATCCCCTCCCCTCCCGAAGCTTTTCTCTAGAATAAAAACGTGTTATTCAGTGATTTTATTGCTGTTTTGGAGAATCCATAGACTCATTGGTACCTTATAGAGCAAAATAACTGTTGAAAGGTGGTAGATTTAAATCTCCTGACCATCTGACAAAGGACTTAATGGAACATTCGACGACTTTTAAAAACCGTGAAATTTACATAGTTCCATTGTACCAGAATAATTATTCATTTGTCAGTGAGAATTTCCATGGAATTAGCAAAAATTGGGCCTGATGTTTATTGAAGTTACAACCTGTTATTGACTCATAAAGGACGACAATGTGTTGAAAAATCGATGTTTTTCGTGAAATTCGCAGCCAAACCTGTCTCCCCCCCTCCCTTTCCTATGCATCAAATTTCTGGAACCGCCCTGCTACCCAAACACCTGTTCTTATTTTTGTTGAACTTTATTAAGGGTTTCCGTGAAAATATTATCTTTAGTTTTGTTAGCATCTTGCGTCTGCTTGCCTTTTTTTGTGACTATATCTCCTCTTTCCTCATTTGTGTAATTTCGGGGCTCATGGTGGATATGTTACCTTACCGCCCGAAAAGACGAAGCAACCAGAATGAAAGGTTGCTAAATCTCGTCTTTACGAGACGAAAAGACAAAACAACGAAATAGTTCAAATGAGCTACCGTAATTTTATACTCGGAACGTTAAGCCTGAACAAAAAGGCTCTTTGAATTGTCTAACAGGTCTCTGAAGTTCGATGATACGGCTAGAGACAGAGGTATAAGAGAGAAAAGAGGACCGATGTTGGTTTCAATATTTCTTGGCAACAAAGTTCGAGTCCTCACAGCACGTAAAGCAAACTTAAGTTACTTTTGCGGGAATTGTAGCAAGTTTTCTTTCATAAATGTTATTGTAACTCACTTATTTTTCGGGAGACTTTTATTCGCGCGTTAGTTTGCGAAAAGAGAAGAGGCACATAAGGCGTTCAAACGTGCTATGTATGGTGTGTATTTTTCGCTGAATCCTTCGCTGTAATCATCATCGTTGTAAGCTGTTTAGCTTTTGGAGATGTCTTGGTGGTATTTCATTTACTTATTTAATAATTTCGATCCGGTTGCGCATGAATTGATAAAAAGTCCATTATTTACACATTGATGAGTTGTGGTGGTATAGATTATGTTACTCACACATTATAAAATTGACTAACAGTTCTCTCTTTCTATGAGCACAATTCTACTGGAAAACGTTCAACGTCGTGCAACCAGATTAGTGCCATGTCTCAAAGACCTGTGTCTCGAAATACTGCTTAAATTACACTTCCGGTAGACTGTTCCGTGTTGTTATTGTTCTGTTACATCGTATACACAATAACAGTTAATCATCTCATGTTTGTTATGTAGATCACACCCACCTGATAATTTGTCACAGCTATATTTGGACATAAACTAAAGCGTTCAGAGTAATTTTACATGTTTAGGGGTTAATACACTCCCAATGATTAACCATAGGCTAGTCATTTTTACCGAAAGTCGATCTAAACCCCTGAAACATGTAAAATTACTCTGAACACTTTACTTCATGTCCATGCAAATATAGCTGTAAAGAATTCTCAGGTCCTGTGATGTAGATACATTGTATCATTGGCTCCTGATTATTCTGTGTCTTTTAATAAAGAATAATGATGGCTATAATATCGTGTTTGTTTTGTTTCGCTTTCTTCAACTTCAACAGGATACTCTACAACGTTCAATATACTGAACATTATTTAGAGGCGTCAGCGAGATCGGTTAAAAAACATTTATTTTTTATTTTTATTTTTTAGAACTATATGATCGGCAGCTCCAAGACTTGGTAGGGTTCTAATTTCGTGTACAAGAGATGGCTGATTGAGAAAGAAGAGATCAAGTGTATTCTCTTTACGAGTAGGTATTTTTACAACTTGTTCAATGTTGTGATTTTCTATGATGGCAAGGAAATCAGATTAGGGTGCAGTATTGCAATTGTTTTTATAACATTGTTGTTGCCAGTCATACTTAGGGAGATTAATTTATATAAAGTCACCAAGTAACCACGTGTGGGCATTTCTAGGGACTCGTTGGAGGGACAGGTCCAGTTAATTTGTGCAGTGCTAATCAGGGTCAATTTCACTTGGTTTCTGCATCTACAATTTCAAACACCCAATTAACACGTCCAGGTTCGAAGTCTGTATCTACAAACACCCAATTAACACGTCCAGGTTCGAAGAAAGAATACAGCTGCTGTATCAGACTGCATGTTGTAAGAGGCGACTACTGTGTGTCTCTCCATTTAAATTGTTACGTTACTTTCGCTATCTGCACCCCTGGAATATTCGATATAATACCCCCCTGTCGATAACACCCTCCGTTGCTCTACATGTAGTTCGATCCTTGATGTAAATTAAAATAATTTCGTGGTCGTGTAACGGTCGCCCCTCTGTTATCTTTAAAGGGCAGGTATCAACATAGAACTTTATGTTGTTATAAGCTAATTAAGCTAACGAGGCTTGGAAGAACGCCTGGACCCATGCTTAATTTATATGCTTCTCTTTGTAAATAAAATTAGTTATTTTAGATTATTATTATTATTTCGAGCTATATGTTTGTACTTCAACTATTTTACCCTCCCCTGGGCAACATACAACAGAATAAACTGACGGATTTTAGTATATTGACAACAGTTCCGGCGGAACTTACGAAATGTGGTGAAAAAATTGTGACACCGGTTACGTCATTTTTGCGGGAAAGTCAGGGGTAATCTAAACAAACAGAAGACATCTCATCGCCATCAGGAAGAAATGATACAGACATACATTAGTTCTTTTTAAACGAGGTAGTTATGTCAAATACTGTTTACAACTTGTTAAATAGCAGATTTGAACTATAATTTTAAGTTCAAGTGTTACTTTGGGCATTTAATATACCTGATTTAGAGGCAGCTGATGTAGATGAGGCTACGACTCGCTGTGCGAGGCAGTGTGGGTCAAACAAGACACCTGTCAAATTATTGAAGTCAATCCTCGATACACCATTGTTTACGCTGACTTTTGCTCTTTGCACCCCTGGATATTTCATAGAAAAATAAGTGTATGAGTGTTAAGTTCTTACCCCTGAATTATCGAGGATCTAATTAATTAAGTCTGGTGTCAGGCGGTCACACTAAAATGTCGATTTCCTAACAAAATAAACATTTTTTAAGCTGAAACTTTACCACAACCTGTTTAAGGCATAACAGTTATACCAATGGAAAAAAACAGTTATTTGCTGAAAATAATTCTTATGTTTTGCTATGGCATTTTAGTGTAAAAGTGCTTCGTAATTAAGATCGATTTTCTAACAAAGTACACTTTTTTTTTTAAATGATACTTTACCTAAACATATTAAATGAGTATACCAATGGAAAAATCGAAATATTTCGTGGATATAACACTTACATTTTGCTATGGCATGCAAAAACGCCTATGGCGTACCTATGGCGTACCTATGGCGTTAATTCTCCTATGGCGCATTTTAGTGAGACCCGTGTCAGGACTGGTTTCTGAGCATAAGGAAGCTCGGGCTACAGTAGGCACTGTCAGTGAGGAATGACAGCACGGATTCTCTGATCCCGTGATAACACTATAAAGTCTCTGTAAATTGGGTCAGTTTTAGTATTTTCTCAAACAATGGATAATCCATCATACGAGGATTGATCCCAAACCTGATCGATGTGTATGAACAGATTTGGACACATGACTTAAAACCTATATCCTGGATCATGTTTTGACTGCCAATGAACACTGCTTTCAAATAAACCCCCTCCATACTTTTGCAAATGGAAAATCATATTTATCTTCATTTGACATCACGTTGATCCTGCTACTCTGACAAACTATAAGGTGTTATTGTACAGAGATTTTTTTTGTGATGAACTGAGTTAAAACAATGCATCAAAGTTGACTTTAACCGTTTTTTTTCAGAAAAAAATGGCAAGAACTAAGCAGACACATAGACAGGATGGTGATGGAAAGGCGTTACCCAGGGCAGTGTTTGGGAATAGGAGCAATGGATCGGTAAACTTTCTGGATTTCATGTACCATATAACTCTGATGGCCAAAGTGAGCCATGTACTGACAACGATAGAAGTAGTATAGTTGTACAAGCAAAACTTGACAAAGTGACATGTCAACACACACTCTTGTTAGTGGTATATAGTTGTACATGCAAAACTTGACAAAGTGACATGTCAGCACACACTTTTTGTTAGTGGTATATAGTTGTACATGCAAAACTTGACAAAGTGACATGTCAGCACACACTCTTGTTAGTGGTATATAGTTGTACATGCAAAACTTGACAAAAGAGACATGTCAAGTGGACCCATTTCTTAAGGTCTGTATCTGACAAGAACTCGGCTTGATTTTATCTGGGTGACACTAGGTGCTGGAGAATGTCGCACACAAATCTACTATAAAGTATATGTGTTGTATGTTGGCGTGTAAAGCAGTATGCATGCAGTATAAGGTTGAAGGATATGATGTTTCAAGATTTATCCTAATCAAACTGTTCTGACAGTAATATTTAATAACTGAAAGATATTTAATAATCGTACGGGTTCAATTCACGTTTAGCGTATACAATTGTTATCGGACACAATTACGAGGAACGTTTTAGTGACACATTGCGATTGTGCATGTGACCTTGGACTGACGTAGCTGTTGTTTGGGCCTACCTTGAGAAAGCTTCTCCAGTCCCTCTTGAAAGTAATCAGAATCTGGCCGACTACAGCAAACATAAAATATGCGCAACATAAATCTTCGTCGTTATCAAAAGGATGTCAGTGCATGAGTGTGCTCAGGTGTATGCGAATAGAAATCAAGTGAGAACATTCACGATTTAAAGTGGCATACCTACCATGAGACTGTTTAACAAAAGAATAATTCAGCTATTGCAACTTTTTAACATGTAGTAAATTCACTTTGTTTGTCAAAAGGTAAGTAAGCGGTAATATAGGAGTAATCAATCGGCCAAAACAACACCATTTGACACGTTTTAACGGTGGTATTACTAAAGGACTTGACCAAGATGTAGTTTGATACATATTAAATAGCGATGCTTTCTTCAGCACCTAGTGTTACCCAGATAAAACAACCAGAGTCCTTTTCGGATACCGACCTTCAGAAATTCGTCAACTTGACTTGCCACTTTGTCAAGTTTTGCATGTACAACTATACCGTTTCTGTCATTGTCGGTACATGGCTCACTGTGCACAGGCCATCATATATAACACGTACTTGCCAACCCTCCCTACTTAGGAGGGACAATCCCGATTTTTGACCCTTAAATTTAGTATTTTCAACCTGTGAATTTTCTACGCTATTACAATATTCTAAGATCTAATGATTTCATTTAAAATAACAGCTCAAAATATGTCATTGAAAGGGTTATTTTGTCCCCAGGGGGTATTGCACACATTTAATTTATGTTTCAATTTTGATCATTCAGATCCCATGGAAATTTTAAAGAGTTGGCAAGTATGATAAGTTGATAACAGGCATGTTAACTTATGCTACTGTTCAAACTGGGCATGATTTTGTGTAAGAGTTATCTCTGTTGAAAAGGTTTGAAATATCATTTCTAGTTAATCTTTCAAAGTTATAATTGTGCTATCATCAGTGCAGGCTTTCTATAAGAACAATTCATACACACCAGATGAGATCTCATATTGTGAGGCATTGAAATCTCACAAATTTTCCCCTCTGATAAAGTCTCATGGCCTGGGACATGAAATTACAGAAAGTCCTCATTATGTATATAAGCATGTTTCCAGATTCTTTTATAATGCCCAGAAGTTCAAATGTATTGTAAAATCATAAAAATCCACAGTTCAGAGTTTATTCCAAATTCCTCAGACTTCCAAAAGTTTTTCCTAAAGCTAGTGAATCAAAAGCTTAGCCTGTATGTTCAACTATGTTGTAATATGCTGTTTCTTGTACTATTCTTATAAACAGAATTCACTTGGGAGGAAGAAAACCAAAGCAAAGAAGAAATGGAGGAAGAGATCCTTCTCAAATACCTGGAATAGATTCAACAATTACGAGGATAGATCAAACTATAAGTGGCCGTACGCTGGTGCTGCTAATCTGGGGCCCATCGTCATTGGCGACGACATGGGACACGATGATCTGGATGATGAGGTGTTGCTGGGCCATCTCCGTGGAAACATTGTTGGTATCCAGTACTACAGAGGCACTGTGAGTATACAATATAGGATGCTTGGAAGTACATAGTTATACCCTAGCTATGCATTGTTAGTTTTCAGTGGTTAAAATTTGTATCGGGATAAAATTGTGATGACGTGACAATGCTCCAGGTTACGTTTTGAACATGGGGTGCTTTTCATTCCTACCTTCACAATGTGGAGGGGTGAAATTTTACTTCCGAAAATTGAAAAGCTAAAAATCATGCATACCAGTCCTGGGGCTGATATATATATGGAGGTCTCCGGTCGATACTGGATAGTCATAAGGTATCCTCTAATTATTAAGTCCCCAAAATGAAGTTGGCTAAAACATTTTGAGCCATAACTTTTGTTATATTTGGCGCATCAAAATTAACTATTGAGGAAAGTATCAGTATAGGACATGCTCTAAAGTCGAATAAAAAATTGACATTGTCAACAAAATTGCTGCCATATCGTGGCTTCTGATAGGTTGAAATTTAGGTATTGTTTGATTTTGATGAAAATTGGTATATAGGGGTATTACTATTAGGGGACTACAAATTCAACCGCATTATGTTTCGTTGTCATAGCAACCACACAGCAACCTCACAGAGGCTTTTGATTGGTTGAAATTTAGATATTCTTTGTTTTCACTCAAATTTGGTATGTACATGTATTTGGCACTGCGAAGTCAACTGCGAGGGTTTGGGGGACTTCTGTAATGGTCCCCCATTACAATTAGTACTTGTTATATTTGATATGATATTGAACCTTTCTTAACAGTAACATGTTTCGCATGGGTTTTGGTATCAGTCTGGTTTCAAGTTTTGTGTACCTGGGGCTGTATAGTAAACCCATGGACTAGTTGTGGTAGCTATAGCTCTTTGTTTAACAGATCATTTTTGCACTAATTTTTACACAAGTTTACACACATTTTTTCTTTCCCAGAGACTGAATCTACTGACCTGATTCAGCAGTCCAGAGAATGTTCTTGTTTAAATTAGTGATATAAGTGTTTGTAATATTAAGGCCTTTTGTATGTAAGGCCAAAAAAAAAGGTGTCTGTTTAGGGTTCCCGACCGACCCTAGCTTTTTACCCCCGACCCAAAACTTTTTGATGTTTTTTTTTCTTTTTTTTCTTAAACCCGCTGATTTTGAATTTTAGAAGGTTCCTTGCCTTTCAAAACGGCTTCCAGCTCCGTGTTGGCGCTAAATGTCATCATATGGAGCACAATTTGCCTCCAAATGAACCTTGTTTATGTAATTCTTTGTTTTACGTTTTACATGCAATAGTAGGGTCATAATCACATGACCAAAAATATACAATTTAAAAAAAAAAATCCGACCTACCTACCCTAGTTTTTTTGCCAATGCAGCCCTAAACAGACTATATATTTTTTTTGGCCTAATCATACGGTACTTAGGATAGGATACAAAACACAACTACTCTTTCAGGTGAACAACAATGAGATGGTTGCGATTGAAAGAGAACCCCACAATAAGTATGACTGTAATGCCATCAGGATACTGAATGTGGGAGGCCAACAGGTGGGACATATCAAGCGAGAGTTGGCCAAACCCCTCACTCACATCATGGACAATGGCTGGGCCAGACTGGAGGGGTAAATCTTTTCTCACAGCTCTTTGACTACCAAGGACTAGCTGGGTTTTTTATTTCTTGAAATTTCTTGTTTACAAGGTTAAACAAATTTAAGCCTTAAATGTAGATAAGTTTATTCTGAGCATGCATCCCTCCACGACACTGGTCCTCTGTGATGATGGTACATTAACATTCATCTAGAAGAAATGATGAATTACTTTTGTCGTCATTGTTATGAAGATTATATTTGTAGTCATGCTAGTTGCTTCAATATGAAAGAGATTGTGTATATTTGTAAATTTACAAAGGGCCGCGGTGGCCAAGTGGTTAAGATGTCTAACATACATTTTGCTACCACTAGCCCTCCACCACTAGGTCGCAGGTTCGAGACCTACGCGGGGCAGTCGCCAGGTACTGGCTGTAAGGCGGTGGTTTTTCTCCAGGAATTTGGCTTTCCTTCACCACAAAACCTGGCACGTCCTTAAATGACCATAACTGTTAATAGGACGTAAAACACGAACAAACCAAACCAAATTTTTACAAGTGTCACCTTTAGGAGTGGAACTGGGACTACTCATACATGCAATATCAAACGATTTCGGCGCGAGACTCACAAAAAGTAGAAGAAAAAAACAAGTTGAGAGATCATTACACTTGGACCTCGCTTAAATCATGTTGCTTAAAACAATAAAATATGTTTGAAATGAAATGTTGCTTAAAACTAAATGAGTATTTTCTTATCTATAGCATAGTACCGTTCGGCAGCTCCAACATGTACACCATGCCTATAAACATGACCCTGTGGGGTAAACCAGAGTTTCGCCAGCAAACAGCAGACAAGCTGAGTGGGCAAGGGTTCAACCCCACAGAGCCGTCTTCCAACCTCGACCAGGCCGGAGGGTCAGGAATGGGCATGGCCACTCCACGCAGAACCTACCTGACGCCTGAAGAGGTAACAAGTAGCTGGATTGGATTAAGAATGACGCTGACTTTAATTATTGTCAGTAATTTGGCATAACATGTTTGATGTCTATTGTCATATTTGTTATTTAATGTAGTTAAATATGCTTTGTATACGCCCGTCGAAATTCGACGGACGTATTATGGAATAGCGTTTGTGTCAGTCCGTCTGACGTCCGTCTGGTTAAAGTTTAGGTGCAAGTTTCTGCAGTGGTCTACAGTCCAGTCAGATCATGTGTTATTGTCCTAATTTTTGGCATGGATGTACATGTGGGGTCTAACAAGGACAGTAAATCCACATTTTTGTTAATTTTGGACGTGTTCGGGACTTAATTTTTCTCGCGCAATTTCTCAGTTAAAGTTTAGGTGCAAGTTTCTTCAGTGGTGTACAGTTCAGTCAGATCATGTGTTATTGTCCTAAATTTTGGCATGGATGTTCAATGCTCAAACTGCTTCCAATGATTTATGCATGTGATATAGCAGGAAGTAGAAGTAGTTTAAATGCGACTGAAGTAATTTGTGAGAGATAAATATGAAAATCTGTGTTGCTGTGGTGAAACATTTTAATTCACCATTGTGGATGTATTGCGTTGTAGTAATATATCACAGAGGTTTTATTATGTTGAGCCCATTATATACATGTATGTAACAAGATAAATGCAATGGTTGGACCGGGGTTCGAACCCAGCACCCTCAGATTTTAAAACGGACACTCTTAACAAATTGAGCTACCTTGTTGTCGGCGATTGACCCAGTCCAGTTCCACTACATTTACAACATTTGCTCTTTGTGATATAATCCACTATTACTCGCTCGAAACATGCAAATATTTCTTAATGATTAACATTCTAAAGTTGTAATTCCAGATGAAAAATGAGCTTGATGAACTATTTGAAAATTTGGACGAAGGAGATAAAACTAGCACAGCTAATCCAGCAAAGGTAAAATTAATTATATATGGATTATTCATACAGTTTTACTGGAAGGATTAAACTTCAATAATAGTATAAAAACATTTCACCTAGCTACATGTTCTAATGTAGAGGAAGCAATGTAATGACAGTCTCTACCCTGAACCTTTGATCCAGAAATTCCCCTTATTTCAAAATAGGTACTATTCCTCAAACCCTAGATTAACCCCTGCTGGTACCTATAGAGTAAGATTCTTCTTCCTTAATGCAGCAAATTACTTTATTTTTGTGTGTACTTTATTTTGCAAACTGTATGTAGATATCATTTATGAACACTTATATTCAAATTGACAAGATGTTATTTCAATTCTGATCACAATTATTACTGGAAAGAGTATTTGCAAAAGATATAAAAGGGAAATAAGTCCTCTGAGCCAACTGTAAAAACTGACCTCCCATAAAATTGATAATTAACAGTAGAACTATAGCAGTATTTGAGTGCTGCACCTGGTCTGATTATTATCAACTTTTAACATTTGTTGTAGGCCATAGTCACACCAATGTACACCCACCAGAAGCAGGCCTTAAACTGGATGATACAGCGTGAGAATGGTAGCAAGTTACCTCCCTTTTGGGAAGAAAAGAAAGGCCGCTACTTTAACTCTGTCACCGTATTTACAACTGACAAGCGGCCACAGTCGGTCAGGGGAGGTAAATTATCCCCTTTATAAATACCTTGTACACCATTTTGAGTGTATCATCTGCGTAGCATTTCCATAGCACTTGCATAGCTGTTTGCGCTTATGGCTGCCCAATCAAATAGTACCAACTTTTGTATATGTAAGGTTGCTACTTCAAAGGTAGATTATATAAAGAATTTACCTGTAGTTTTATCTGTAGTTCAAGTGACATCAATACAAGAATTTTTTGTCACAAGAATACAATATCGGATGAAACTTCGAACAAAAAATCACAGTTATAATATGTTCTTGTATGGTCTCACTTGAAATGTTTAAGTGATATATATAAGAACACATAATGTGCAATTTGACTTACTTCAGTAAAGAAGAAACATTGAAAACTGTCCAATCATGGAACTCCTGGTATACATCACAAAGCCTTTAAAACTGAAATTGCACAAAGACGAGTCAACCTTCTCATTCGATTCAATAAGCACCTAACATGTTGTACATGTGTACATTTAGATTATCTCAGAACTATGTTAAGAATCAATGTTGCATTTTTAATTTGACAATTGAGGCAATACTTTCCATGTCAATGAATGCTTTAAAGTGCATTGTTGTTTGGCATAGAATATCCTTGCAAGCTCAAAATGTGCCGAGGCCAGACAAAAAAAAATATGGGTTTCCTGTAGTGAACATGTTGGATAAATTTAGGGTAGGTAGGTAACCAGTTTTATTTTTAATTTACATATTATATGGTTTATATAGGAGAATGATCTTGACTTTAACAGCGCTTCTTTGAAAATGCCTTAAAAAGTTCAGGATGGGCACAAAAAAAGGGTAGGTAGGGTAACAAGAGACACGAAATATTTTTTGTTTGGCCTGATCTAATTCCAATCATGGACATTTACATGTAGGAGTTATCGAAAGTGATGTTATACACTTGTTATGGTGATTTCTCCCCGTTGCCACAGGCATCCTGGCTGATGACATGGGTCTGGGTAAAACTCTGGAGATGATCGCCCTGATTATGACCAACTTTAAGGATGGTCTTCCCCTAGCTGTACCTGTACCAGGTAGGGTCAGACAGTCAAAACAGAAAAGGACTCAGGTAAATAGCTTGTTCTGTTTCTCTCTTACCATGTTTAAAATAATGTTTGGATGTCCATGGCTGACCTTGCCTCATTTTTGTGGGTAGATAGGTCAATGACATGTAAGTTTGAATCCCCACCCATTCATAGGTGTCAACCTGTGAAACCTTCAATGAGGGAGATCTCTCTCATTCCACATTTCAAATGAGGGAGAAAGTTTGTGAAATGCGACCGAAACTGCTATGCTCAATCTATCTTTCCCTTTTTAAGTATCAAAATTATTCATTCAAAAAGCATTCATTTGATTCAGACAAACCTGTTATGATCATTACACACAACCTGCATTACCTAGGAGATCATTTGACTAGAGAATGTAGATTTTGAGTTTGTGTGAGTTTTGACTATAAGGAGGGAGTTTCGAGGGAGATTGGTACATTTTGGTCAAAATGAGGGAGGTTTCCTAAAATCTATTGTTAGTAGATTACAGAGATATACTGTGTTAATAATGTAACAGCACACATAAATTTAATAAGATGTTGACATAATCTGTTTTTTTTTTTTAATAAGGCCAAGGTTTTGCATTACAATTTGAATCTATTAATTTATATTCCTGCCAGTATTCATTTCGAGACTTGTTTGTTTTACACCAGAGACTAGACTGTTACAAATTGGAACCTAAACCAATGGCAATGAGGAAGGTGAATCTAAAGAGGGAGAAAATGTCTGACTTCATCGTTGATGACAGCAAACCAAGCACCAGCTATGCACGTAAATTTGTGAGAAATATATCTGCACCAGGCAATTTGCAGAGATCACGGTTACCATACCTTCCTGATGATGACATTTCTGACTCGGACAGTTCTGTGGACTCCGTGGAAGATTATGGTATTAAATGTTATTCTGAAATACAGTATTAGTGGATATAGGGTTAATTTACTAGCATTATTATGTCTCCCCTTGGAATGAAGGGAGACATATTGTATAAGTACTGGTTCTTCTTCTTCTGGTTCTTCTAATCGGACTTGTACGGGCCATAACTTTTAAACAGTTAAAGATGTCTTGATGAAACTTTATGTATGCATGCATCACCCACAGAAGGTGTGCAGTGCACTGGAAATAGGTCACTGTGACCTTCACCTCAAGGTCAAAGGTCAAATAAGTGCAACTTTTTCAGTAAATTCTTGTCCGGTCCATAAATTTTCAACTGTTAAAGATATCTTAATCAAACTTGAAGTATACCTGCATCACCCACAGAAGGTGTGCAGTGCATTGGAACTAAGTCTCGTGCCCCACTATATACAGAGTAATGGCCCTTTGTTTTTTTTTAATACCGAAGTTAGTCCAGAGCATAAGTTTCATGTTATTTCACCTACGTTGACCAAACTTTTTATGTATTTTGGGAAGGTGGAATCTTTCGCACTAAAATCAGGTTTTGTGCCGCACTTTATATAGAGTTATGGCCCTTTGTTTATTTTTAAAACAGAAGTTAGTCCACGGCATAACTTCTAAACCATTAAAGATATCTTAATCAAACTTGAAGTATACCTGCATCACTCACAGAAGGTGTGCAGTGCACTGGAACTAGGTCTTGTGCCCAACTATATACAGAGTTATGTCCCTTTGTGTTTTTTTAATACCGTAGTTTGTCCACGGCATATTTTTCCTGTTATTTCACCGACGTTGACCAAACTTGGTATAGTTTTAATGTATCTTGGGAAGTAGGAGTGTTGCATTCTAAATTCGGGTCTTGTGCCCCATTATTTAAAGAGATATGGCCCTTTGTTTTGATTTTTTATACCAAAGTTTGTCTTTTGGCTAATAAGGGGAGACATATGTATTTGTTCACAATAACAAAATTCTAGTTATGTTTTCATTAATGGTAGTTCATGAATATGATAATAAAGTAACAGTACAAACCTAACAATTTCAAAATTGCAATACAGTGCAAAATTGATGACACTATTCTATGAAGGGACATTTTGTAGTATGTCATAGGCTTCAATACTTTATCCAGAGTATAACTGCTTTGCTATTTCACCTAAGTTCACAGAATTTCGTATACATGTACTTGTGTATCGGGGGAAGTACGCCAACAGTGTTAGCGGTTTACAGGGCGAGATGCTTTTGACAGGTGCAGTCGGCAAAATCATATCTGTTGGGGGAAAAAAGGCCGACCAGCAGCCTCTTATGTTATAGGAGTACGGGGGAAGATAAAGTGCCATGCACTGAAATGGATCTCATTCTCCGTTTTTTGCATTTGTCCTTTTGTTCATTTCGATGTCCAGAACATAATTTCCTTGTGATTTTTTCCACATTCATCATATATAATTGCTATAAAAAATGTACCGTGGAAAGGTAGGGTTATTACTAATACTGAAATTGGACTTTGTGCCCCACTACATTAAGAGTTATTCCTATATACTTGAACTAATTTGGAGCATAAATTCCTTGCTATTTTACATACATTGACCAAATTTGCTATAATTATGTACCCTAATACCATAATGGCATTGTTTTTGAACTGCCATATCCTTCATCTTGGTTCAGTGAACATTACAAAACGAGTCTTAATGGATACATGAAGTGTAACAATCATAAGTGTTCTGTCCCAACTCTTATTTAAAGGTTTTAATATGAGATCTTCATTGTTGCTTGTTTTAAGAATTCTTAATAGATTATATTTTGTTTTAGATGGTCCCATTCTTTTTGGCCAAAGATCATCAGATGATGGGCTATTCGAATTGTCTTTCGTCCATGATCTGTCTGTCTGTCTTTCTGTTGGTCCATTATCCACCCATCTTAAAAAATATTTGTTAGCGCTATTTCTCCTAAAGTACCAAAGGGATATTTCTCAAATTATATGCAGTTCTCGATGGTCCCTTGTTATGCATATCCAGTTTTGTGTCTTTGTCCGAATGTCTTGTAATACCAGGTATTTGCTAGAAAGGAGAACTTCATACAGCACTTACTTTGTGTTAATTTCTTTCAATGACATTTCTTTTAGATGATTCTCAACAATCAAGCATGGTAAAGAAGGAAGACCCAGACTTTGTGCCAAAAGGTTGTCCCTCAAAGGAGAACATGGCAATGATGTCTTCACGCCCTAAAAGGTATCTGGCCAATGTTACTTAAATAACCTTATTTATTGAACTAGAGATTTCATTGTAATGTGAACAACATCAGCTTATTTCTGTGATAAGCATGACTGTGGCAATGTAAATCTTGATTGTTGTTTTTGCTTGCAAGCATAAGGCCAAAATAAAAAGGTGTCTGTTTAGGGTTCCCGACCAACCGTAGCTTTTTACCCCCAACCCAAAACTTTTTGATGAAAAAAAAAAACCCGCTGATTTTCGAATTTTAGAAGGTTCCTTGCCTTTCAAAATTGCTTCCAGCTCTGTGTTGGCGCTAAATGTCAGCATATGGAGCACAATTTGCCTCCAAATGAACCTTGTTTATGTAATTCTTTGTTTTACATACAATAGTAGGGTCATAATCACATGACCAAAAACAAAAATAAAAATAAATCCGACCTACCTACCCTAGTTTTTTTGCCAATGCAACCCTAAACAGACTATATTTTTTTTTGGCCTAAGAGTTCTGATTGAGTGGTGGGGTGGCACAGTGGATAGCCCACTTACCTTTCACCAAGTTGTTCAATTCCCCATTTGAATGTGAAAAGGTATGGGTTCACCTGCCTGACCATGTGGGTTTTTCGGGTACTCCAGTTTCTTCCCACCGTAAGACCACCTGAGCGCTAACATCCCTGCCAACAAGTGATTAATATAGGTTGAAATAACTTGTTTTATAAATTGTTTTAAAATAAATGTTAGAGTTCTNGGGCCAACAAGTGATTAATATAGGTTTAAATAACTTGTTTTATAAATTGTTTTAAAATAAATGTTAGAGTTCTGTTTGAAGACTAAACTCGATATTGCAGACAGTCTAAAAGGAAAGTCAGATACACAGTTAACGGTGATTCTGATGTAGCACTCCAGGACAGCCCGAGTCGCTCGACTCCAAAAGGTAAAAACTACACAACCAATATTTGCAGACATGACTGTTAAATCAAGCAGTTTTATGTTCATTCTGTGCAACTTTTCACTATGAAATAAATTCTGTAATGATCAGTATTTTTGGCAAAATATCTGTCAGCGTGTTTGACAAAATGAGAAATAATTTCAAATAATGTTCTGATGCAGATTAATTAACTATTGTGGAATAAACTAATCCTAAACAGAATCTTATACTCACTTTGATAATTACCAGAAGTTGCAAAACATCACGTAGCTGCAGCATCAAGTGGGAAGTTGACTTTTTCCTCTGGTCAGGATTCAGCTACTTTGTCCAGCCCATCAACTGAGTATATCACTCCAACAGGAGATCTAGACAATAGGTTCATCAACAGTGCCAAACCTGACAATGTTTTATCTTCAGTGACGGGCCACAAGTCAGCAGAGGATACTGTAGTGACACCTAGAGCAATGACAGAAACACAGGACAGCAAAGTAAGGGATGTGACGAAGACTGCTAAAGCGGAACAGATTGATGGATTGAAAAAGGAGATACAGATGCCCTCTATAGGAGCAACACAGAGCTGTGTGTCAGTGGGGGAATCAATCCTGCAGCCTAAAGAGGGTAGTGTGGTGATTGATTCAGATACAGTGAAGGATTCTACAGTACACACATGTACAGCTGTATCTACGGGGGTGGCTGTACTAGAGGGGCCAGATCTAGAGGTCACCGAGCACGGGGATACCGGGGACCAATGTATAACAAGTGAATCTACTGTCAATTCTATAGATATGGGAACAGAGAAACCAGTATCAGGACAAGAAAAAACAACAGGTCTGTTTATTAAATTAATGTTGATATGAAAGAGCAATGTACAAGTATGAAATCATTCTAATGGGAATTATTAGCCCCTTTTGAATGACTTCTGGCACAATACTTTAAATACACTCACAACTGAACACAAAACACTATAGCCCTGAATGCCAGGGGCTAGTAGATGATTTTGTATCATGATTTGTGAAAGTTTTCAATATTTACCAAATAGAAATAGTTGTCTGTTAGAATTTTTCAAAATCTGTCTGTTGGCTAGTACTGTTAATAGAAATGTGTACACCCCTGGTTGCTTAAAAGCATTAATATAACAAATATTCTGACTGTTAGTGTTTTTATGATAAGCACCCTGCTTTGTAGTTGAGACAAGCTGAGGTCGGAAGTTTGTTATAATAAATGTGTTAATACAAACTTAATTGCTACATTATATTGTACTCTTGCGGGGAAAAAAAGAAAAAAATGCTTTTGAATTTAAAAAAACAAATGGACAAACAAGATGTTTTGATTATGAAATTTATGGTGTTATTCTGCTTAATGGTTTAGCTAAAACATTTTTTATATGTTTCTACAGAGCCAGAAATTTCAAAAAACAAGAAACCAGCAAAATCCAAAGCAAGGTTGGCACCTGTGATGCTGGCTCCCACCACCAGTGGAAGACCCAGACGGTAAACTGTGTGACTATTTAATCTAGTGTATCTCTTTTCAGAAATCAAATGTTAACAAAACAAATGTCTTAGAACGAATGTTATTTGCAAATTTGCATGATATAAATGTATGAAGTAATATATACATATATATATTTTATTTTTTTGAAATAAAATATTAAAACTGTTTCACATAGTAGTTTTTTTGCAATTGTGGCTATGAACCTAAATATATAATATCATTCAAGAGGGGTCGGAGACACAACGTCCCTTACCAGTCAAATTTGGTTCTGTTCCGACGATTCCTGCCATGGATACTTCCGTAAACAGAGTCCCTTGCTAAATTATCATAAGGAATGCCGTTGGAGCATAGGACAACACGGAGGAATATTCCAATTATATGAGATTAATGGAGTCAAAAGAGACTCCATTAAATTCATATAACTGGAATATTCCTCTGTGTTGTCCTACGCTCCGATGGCATTTATATAATATCATTGTAAAACGGCCAACTGTTAATCATATGAGTAAATTTCTCAAAGACAATGTCAGATTGAAATAAATGATCGCTCCAGTATAACTGTTACCTAGGTAGTAGGTACCTTAGTTTTTAGTATCTACCGTTCAAATTTTAATCAAGTACTATTCTGTTATTGTCAATCATAAAATCTGCTCCATATCAATGTAAATACAATGTGAATCAGTGTTCCCACTGATGTTTAGATTTGGGAGTAGATTTGTTACATTTTCAAGATTCTGTAGGTTCTTAGTTACTGGTCATTTCTTGAAAACTGGGGGTACAACCAACTGTTTATGGGGTGAAAACCCCTCATTTGAGGGTTCTGGGAATACTTGTGAATTATCAGAAAAATTGCTTTCCTGTGTACAATAAGTGCAGTATTTTTTGGTAGCTTGCCAACATAGGCAGAATTTAGATGAATGTATTTGGACAATGGAGGATTGAACAGATTTTCGTGAAACGGTTGAGGACATATTTTACCCCAATACCTAGTTCAAGTTTGATGGTCAGCATGTAATCCATGCATATTTTAATACTGAAGATGCCACAATAGCATTGGCTTATGATTTCCAGATGATATCTAAATGAGGTTTCTATTTTATTCCACTTAGTGAGGAAACTGTACTACCCTAGTAGCTGCCGTAGCTTGCTAATGCTTTATATATATCATATCGGCATCATCTGCATTCTTAATGAGGATGCTGCTACCATTTAGGCAAATACCTGATGATATTTTTAAAAGTACATTTGATGAAATTTCATGAAAATTCTGTATAATTAGCTGTAAATAACCTGTAAATTAATAAATTGAAGTTCCATCGTCCATTAGAAGACAAGACCTGAATAGTTAAAATAAGTTAATCTTTCTTTACAAAACTTCTTGATTAACAATTACATCTTCTTTCTTTTGAGACGCAATAGTGACAACACATTGCAAAAAAACAAAGTGATAGTTGCCCAGGTCGCCCAATTTATCTTGTTATAAATGGAGATTTTCATAAAAATAAATGTGAATCTGAAAAACTCAACTAATTAAATAGCCTTCCCACTCCTTCCCTGACCTTATCCTGGATAAGAATTAAGTACAGTGCTTACTAAGGTATTACTGTTTATTTTTCAGCAATGCAAAGAAGCCTGCCCGATATGCAGCCAGCAGTGACTCTGAAGTAGAAAATTCACCAATGAAAAAAGGTTAAACATTTTTAGACCACCAATTGACCATTTATTCTGAAATTAATAAATAAAAGGATCTGTTATGCCCCTACCACCAAAGTGGAGGGGCACTAAGAATTCACTTTTTTCTGTCAGTCCATATCTGTCTGTCTAAGATAGATAGATTTTATTTAAAGTCGGTGGGCATTTTAAAACAAATAACATAAGCTCTATAGAGCTTTTGACCGACAGAGCTTTTGACCGACATAGAGCTATAGAGCTTTTGACCGACATAGAGCTTTTGACCGACAGAGCCTTTGACCGACATCGAGCTTTTGACCGACATAGAGCTTTTGACTGACATAGAGCTTTTGACCGACATAGAGCTATAGAGCTTTTGACTGACATAGAGCTATAGAGCTTTTGACCGACATAGAGCTATAGAGCTTTCGACCGACAGAGCTTTTGACCGACATAGAGCTATAGAGCTTTCGACCGACAGAGCTTTTGACCGACATAGAGCTTTTGACTGACATAGAGCTTCTGACCGACATAGAGCTATAGAGCTTTTGACCGACATAGAGCTATAGAGCTTTCGACCGACAGAGCTTTTGACCGACATAGAGCTATAGAGCTTTAGACCGACATAGAGCTTTTGACCGACATAGAGCTTTTGACCGACAGAGCTTTTGACCGACAGAGCTTTTGACCGACATAGAGCTTTTGACTGACATAGAGCTGTAGAGCTTTTGACCGACATAGAGCTATAGAGCTTTCGACCGACAGAGCTTTTGACCGACATAGAGCTATAGAGCTTTCGACCGACAGAGCTTTTGACCGACATAGAGCTCTAGAGCTTTTGACCGACATAGAGCTTTTGACCGACATAGAGCTTTTGACTGACATAGAGCTGTAGAGCTTTTGACCGACATAGAGCTATAGAGCTTTTGACTGACATAGAGCTATAGAGCTTTTGACCGACATAGAGCTTTTGACCGACATAGAGCTATAGAGCTTTCGACCGACAGAGCTTTTGACCGACATAGAGCTATAGAGCTTTAGACCGACATAGAGCTTTTGACCGACATAGAGCTATAGAGCTTTTGACTGACATAGAGCTATAGAGCTTTTGACCGACATATATCTTTTGACCGACATAGAGCTTTTGACCGACAGAGCCTTTGACCGACATCGAGCTTTTGACCGACATAGAGCTTTTGACGGACATAGAGCTTTTGACCGACATAGAGCTATAGAGCTTTCGACCGACAGAGCTTTTGACCGACATAGAGCTATAGAGCTTTCGACCGACAGAGCTTTTGACCGACATAGAGCTATAGAGCTTTTGACCGACAGAGCTTTTGACCGACATAGAGCTCTAGAGCTTTTGACCGACATAGAGCTTTTGACTGACCGTCTGTATATGACATTTGTGTTAGACATTGTACATGTACCTGTTGGATACTGAAAGTCATAGTAATCAAAGTTCACATGCATGCATGCAGATACATTATGAGGCGCGTTACTCCATCATATAACGTGTATATCTTGTGACCAATTCTTTCTTCTTCACTGACTTTGTCAGACTGGTTCATCAAAGCAGTAGCAGGGGCATGTACACAAGTTATCATACATGTTGTAGTTCACAGTTATGTTTATTTATAAAAAATATTGTCATGCCACTTATTATTCCTTCGCGACGAAAGTTTGAGGGGATATAGGATCCCGCTGGTACGTACATTACACTCTTTGTCATTGATCTAGCGACTTCATTTCTCAACGGAATTTCATGAAACTTCATACAAGTGAACAAGTTCACTTATCAGGTTTCTACGTTAAACCTTAAGGTCAATGTTAATATTTTCAGAAAAAACTTTGTCATCGATCTAGCGACTTCATTACTGAACGGAATTTCATGAAACTTGCTACTAGTGTTTGGTATGACAATTCCTTAAACAAGTTTGCGTTGAAGGTTGCTGCGTTGAAGGTGTCAATTTTACTATTTAAAAAAAAACTTTGTCAGATGTGAATGCGGGGGATTTGTATAATTTGTGATGTGATGCCTTGTTTATTATATGATTTATAGAGGAAATACATTTTTTTTTTTAATCACAATGTAACATCACAAAACTGATATTATTTAACATTTAATGAAACCCAATTAAAATGAAATTACATATTCAAATCTCAAATGATGTAAAATATCAATTTCGGGTTTTTTATAATATTCAAAAGTCTAGTTGTGGTGAATGTATTTGTGCAAAACATTTAACACACAAAGTACAGACCATTTCATCTTGTTAATTTGCATCTCCAAACTTTCCATTCTAGTGCGTGTCAACATGGGAGGTGAAAGCCGATCTGTGGTGTCTAGGAACAGAGGGAAAGGCAAAGGTAAAGCAAAAACAAAACTGGAGAATTGGGCTACTGAAATCAAGGACCAAGTCAAAAACATGGAGGAGAGTGTTAATCTGTCCAAAGTAGAAGTCAAGAACCAAGTCAAAAACATGGAGGAGAGTGTTGATCTGTCTAAAGTAGAAGTCAAAAACCAAGGCAAAAACATGGAGGAGAGTGTTGATCTGTCCAAAGTAGAAACAAAGAACCAAGTAAAAAGCATGGAGGAGAGTGTTGATCTGTCCAAAGTAGAGATCTGGAATAAAGTCCCAGACATGGACAGTCGCCACAGCAAAGGTAATTCATTAGGTATTAGAAATCTTTGGATCTTCTCCGTTATGTTGTTGAAACAATCTCGGCATCAAAATTTCAAATAAAATAACTTAAACCTTCATTCTAGGTCACAGGGGTCAAATATGTTAAAATCTCACTTAAGTTCCAGGCCCCGGTTTCATCAACATTCCTCAAATTTAAGGAGCTCCATAAACCGTCGTTTTCCTTAAATATACTGAGATTCATTAACTCAAATAAAATCATGTTTCAAGAAGCTTCCTTAGCTTAAATCCTTCCTTAAATTTAAGAAATCCCTTAAATATTCAAGGCTACATCAACCCAGACTTAAATCGCTTAGGAGCTCCTAAAATTAACAAAGATGGCTGCCATATATATATATTCAAGTTTGATGAAGACGACATTGAAAAATTTGACAAAGAACAAGTTAGGAGGTTGAAAACCAACTTTCTGACTAACGTTTCGGTCCATTTTACTTTGTTGACAAACCTATGTCCAGATATTCACCATTCTATGGTAGATTACTGTCCGTAGAGCAAAAAAAAGCCTATTTGATTTTGTATTTTGACATGTTCGGGGTACCTATCTCAATTTGTGAGTCACATTCCCCGCAAGTCGTTTTGTGACCAACATTTATAAGTATTGTGCATAATAATGTTGTTGTGTTCCCGTCAGTTCGAAGAAACATTCGAAGCCTAAATAAACAACGGTTTCTAACATTTTGTTGGACAAATTCGTCTGCTCTTGTCTACGTAAAACCTTCTTCCGATACTAAATACAATGCCACTCCCATATAGCAACATGGAGCGACAAATAAAAGTAACCTACATGCATCATGTAGCACCTTGATTGTGTATATTTGCTTCATTGTAATGATTAAAATGATTGAAAAAAGAGAGAAGAAAATACACACACATCCAAAATGAACAAGTGAAAAAGGTGAACATATGGAATGGCACAAGCAAATACTTCGCTTTTATAATTATTAACATTTATTTTTGTACTTTCGAAAAAGTTACAAATCTGGTTCTATTTTTGTATGAATTTGCTTTTTCAACAAAGGTCAATTACTTAAATGTGTTAAATCTGGTGTAACTGCTACATTGAACTTAAGGTAAATGACAGTTATATTACCCGTGGTTGAAGTATTAATTGGTTAAACCAAATGTCGGGTTCATTTGGTGACAAAAAATTATACAGGGATAATCCTGGAAGGTCATGGGGCCATTGACCCCTCAAAACTGAAATTGACCCCTTCCATGTTCCAATTTTCTTTTAATTTTAAATAGAATGGCCCCTCTTAAGTTTGATATTGACTAAAAATTGATGAAAATGGCCCACTGCTCTCAAATTTCAGGATTTCCCCTGATGTAGGGATTAAAGAATAAAGACACTTGACCACCTGTATCAAAACATTGTGATGAGACCAGAGTAAAGTTTTAATGCAATGTTTCTTTTTTCTCTCTTCTTTACTTTTTCTATGGATCTTATTTTTGTTTTGGCAGATATGTCTTATCCAGTGTGTGATCATTTATCCTAAAATTGGTAAAATCACAAAACACATAGCAAGTGAAACACAAAGAGTTTCCCCAAGACAACATTGATTGTCTTTCTTTATATTAAGCTGTGTTCACTGTCGCACAAATTGAAATTGACCGCAACAATTGCCTGTAAAAATCCACTTGCCCGACGCCCGGGACAACTAGTTTTAGCGCTCGGGCAAGTGTGTCAGAATAGTATATAAACATGTTTTTGCATGTGTTTCTCTGTTCCCCCCAAACAATGATTAACTTAACTGTCTGTATTTTAGTGGAAAACATTCAAACAATTTTCAAACAAACAAAAATCAACGAAAAAACAATTTTAATCTTTGATATGTAGTCTAGACATTTTCCGTATAATCATGTGAATGTCTTACAATCTGTAGTCTAGATATTTTACTTATAATCATGTGAATGTCTCGCGCTCAGTAGTCTAGACATTTTACTTATGTCACACACTCTGTAGTCTAGATATTTTACGTATACATAATCCTGTGAATGTCATACACTCTGTAGTCTAGACATTTTACATATAATCCTCTGAATATCTTACAATCTGTAGTCTAAACATTTTACTTATACATAATCCTTTGAATGTCACACACTCTGTAGTCTAGACATTTTACTTTTACATAATCCTGTGAATGTCTCACACTCTGTAGTCTAGCCATTTTACTTATAGATAATCCTGTGAATGTCTCATATCCTTAGTTGATTTGTAATCATGATAAGTTTCCTTTGTCTCTGCTTTCCATGTCATTGTCATGATAACTAGATATACTAGTTGTTTGGTTACAGGTGTAACTCACTGCTGTACTGTAGTAATTTGACTTTCTGAACTAATGTCCCAAACACTGCCCACAGAACATCCTCCCTGTCCATACCTACAGCGGCTGTATAGACTGTATCTGTGGGTATGACCCTGAGGAACTCGCCACCTCCACTGATGAGTAGGACCCTGTGGTTACTTATACATAATCCTGTGAATGTCACTGTAGTCTAGATATTTTACGTATACATAATCCTGTGAATGTCATACACTCTGTAGTCTAGACATTTTACATATAATCCTCTGAATATCTTACAATCTGTAGTCTAGACATTTTACTTATGTCATACACTCTGTAGTTTAGACATTTTACTTATACATAATCCTGTGAATGTCATGTAGTCTAGACATTTTACTTATAGATAATCGTGTGAATGTCTCACATCCTTGGTAGATTTGTAATCATGATAAGTTTCCTTTGTCTCTGATTTCCATGTCATTGTCATGATAACTAGATATACTAGTTGTTTGGTTACAGGTGTAACTCACTGCTGTACTGTAGTAATTTGACTTTCTGAACTAATGTCCCAAACACTGCCCACAGAACATCCTCCCTGTCCATACCTACAGCGGCTGTATAGACTGTATCTGTGCGTATGACCCTGAGGAACTCGCCACCTCCACTGATGAGTAGGACCCTGTGGTTACTTATACATAATCCTGTGAATGTCTCACACTCTGTAGCCTAGACATTTTACTTATACATAATCCTGTGAAAGGCTCACACTCTGTAGTCTAGACATTTTACGTTTAATCCTGTGAATGTCACACACTCTGTAGTCTAGACATTTTACATATAATCCTGTGAATGTCACATACTCTGTAGTCTAGACATTTTACTTATTTCACACACTCTGTAGTCTAGACATTTTACATATAATCCTCTGAATATCTTACAATCTGTAGTCTAGACATTTTACTTATGTCACACCCTCTGTAGTCTAGATATTTTACGTATACATAATCCTGTGAATGTCATACACTCTGTAGACTTGACATTTTACGTATAATCCTGTGAATGTATCACACTCTGTAGTCTAGACATTTTACTTAAAGATAATCCTGTGAATGTCTCACACTCTGTAGTCTAGACAGTTTACTTATACATAATCCTGTGAATGTCTCACACTCTGTAGCCTAGACATTTTACTTATACATAATCCTGTGAATGTCTCACACTCTGTAGCCTAGACATTTTACTTATACATAATCCTGTGAATGTCTCACACTCTGTAGTCTGGACATTTTACTTATGTCACACACTCTGCAGTCTAGATATTTTTTACGTATACATAATCCTGTGAATGTCATACACTCTGTAGACTTGACATTTTACGTATAATCCTGTGAATGTCACACACTCTGTAGTCTAGACATGTTACTTATACATAATCCTGTGAATGTCACTGTAGTCTAGATATTTTACGTATACATAATCCTGTGAATGTCATACACTCTGTAGTCTAGACATTTTGCGTATAATCCTGTGAATGTCTCACACTCTGTAGCCTAGACATTTTACTTATAGATAATCCTGTGAATGTCTCATATCCTTAGTTGATTTGTAATCATGATAAGTTTCCTTTGTCTCTGCTTTCCATGTCATTGTCATGATAACTAGATATACTAGTTGTTTGGTTACAGGTGTCACTCACTGCTGTACTGTAGTAATTTGACTTTCTGAACTAATGTCCCAAACACTGCCCACAGAACATCCTCCCTGTCCATACCTACAGCGGCTGTATAGACTGTATCTGTGTGTATGACCCTGAGGAGCTCGCCACCTCCACTGATGAGTAGGACCCTGTGGTTACTTATACATAATCCTGTGAATGTCTCACACTCTGTAGCCTAGACATTTTACTTATACATAATCCTGTGAAAGGCTCACGCTCTGTAGTCTAGACATTTTACTTATGTCACACACTCTGCAGTCTAGATATTTTTTACGTATACATAATCCTGTGAATGTCATACACTCTGTAGACTTGACATTTTACGTATAATCCTGTGAATGTCTCACACTCTGTAGTCTGGACATTTTACTTATAGATAATCCTGTGAATGTCATACACTCTGTAGTCTAGACATTTTGCGTATAATCCTGTGAATGTCTCACACTCTGTAGTCTAGCCATTTTACTTATAGATAATCCTGTGAATTTCTCACATCTTTAGTTGATTTGTAATCATGATAAGTTTCCTTTGTCTCTGATTTCCATGTCATTGTCATGATAACTAGATATACTAGTTGTTTGGTTACAGGTGTAACTCACTGCTGTACTGTAGTAATTTGACTTTCTGAACTAATGTCCCAAACACTGCCCACAGAACATCCTCCCTGTCCATACCTACAGCGGCTGTATAGACTGTATCTGTGGGTATGACCCTGAGGAACTCGCCACCTCCACTGATGAGTAGGACCCTGTGGTTACTTATACATAATCCTGTGAATGTCTCACACTCTGTAGTCTAGACATTTTACTTATAGATAATCCTGTGAATGTCTCACATCCTTAGTTGATTTGTAATCATGATAAGTTTCCTTTGTCTCTGATTTCCATGTCATTGTCATGATAACTAGATATACTAGTTGTTTGGTTACAGGTGTCACACACTGCTGTACTGTAGTAATTTGACTTTCTGAACTAATGTCCCAAACACTGCCCACAGAACATCCTCCCTGTCCATACCTACAGCGGCTGTATAGACTGTATCTGTGTGTATGACCCTGAGGAACTCGCCACCTCCACTGATGAGTAGGACCCTGTGGTTGTTACATTCTCCTATGATCAGGTTCCCCACACTGTCATACACCACATCATAGGGATTAAATGGTTTACCTCCTGTTTGTGGTGTTGGTTTATATGTACTGGGGATGTCACCTCTATATACAAACAGATGTTTGAAATCAGTGTCCATGACAACGACATGTCGCTTTCCATCACCACCATCTCTTTCACTACTGAAATCAGCGACTGCCACATTGTGAGTGACAGAACACTCTGAGATGCTGTCTGGTGTACACACTAATGGTTTCCCAGTCCCTTTAGCCATAGTAGTACACACCAATTTACCATCTGTGGTAAATTTGGAGATGTGTTTGGTAATCCCTACAATGACATGGTTACTGGCTGTAACACATATACACCTGGGAAACTCCTTGGTACTGAATCTGTGTGTCAGTCGTCCTGATACCAGCTCCATGACGTTGTTTTCTATATCACAGACCCACAGTGTGTGTGTGGTAGGTGACAGACTGATGTCATTGATATAGACATCGTGATTGACTTCCTGTATTACTTTGCCCTTTGTGTCCAGGAGAGTTATTGTGTCATCGTTCTTGATCCACACCTGACCATCAGTGACGGGACATATAGAATCAATGTTACATGGAGACTTCCACTCTTTCACTACCTTGGTCTGTGGCAGTAGTTTGTATGCTGAAGTGATAACTTTTCCCAAGGCTGTTTTCAAGTGATCTTGAGGATTTTCAGTTGGAGTGAAGTTGGCAGTAACCAGGGCAGGTTTTACCGGGAGACTGTATGTAGGAGAATGGATCTCACAAAATGTATCATAAATCTGTATGTGTGAACCACGCTGGAGAGCTGCTTTACATTCTTGAATTTGTTGTTCGAGTTGCTTCTCGTACATCTCCAAGTCCTGTTTGTATTTCTTTATCAGCTTGGTATTATCCTCTTCCATTTTGTGATAAAGAGAGAGTGTCTGTTCTGTAAGCATGTCCAGCTCTTGTTTCAATTTATCTGTTTGCATTTTCAACTTTTGTGACAGCTTCTCAAAAGTACTGGTGTTGTTTTTAAGGAGCGTATCGCTAGCAGTGATGTATTTCCCAATTTGCACAAGGTCATTTTTTTCTGTTTTGTGTATAAAGTTTTTAATGTCTTGTTCTTTGTTAGGAGTGATTTCACTTAGCTCACAAACTGGATGGATTTTGTGAATAGAAGAAAGGCATTTAGGACAAACCAGTTCCTGACATTTTTCACAATAAAATTCTAGTTGTCTCCCATTATGGTGAATACATGTAGTTTGACCTTTCATACGGAGAGGCATTTGGCTAATAGGGGTTGCCATTTTGATAAAAAAGCTAAATTATTTTTTGAAATCTTGAAGGCGTTTGTTGTTTTTGTATAAACACTCACAAATTAGAGTTTGTTATGTAAAAAAATGTGACTTTGGATTTTACTGTCCCCTCCAGTCGTATATAATTGTAAGACATTTAGTAATGTAAAAAACCCACTATAGAATAACTACCTAATGATCACTGATGTTACCAGGTCGACACTGTGATGATGAATCCAAGTTTTCCACCCACACCACACCACACCATATTTGTCCAGCCCTAGAATTCACAATCACATGATGAACTTCCCTCTGGCTTTGTTAATAAAACTCACTTTCCTGCTGACATTGTAAAAGTTTGATCAAAACTTAAAGACAAATGTTTGGCTGAATTTGACAATGCTGCTTACTAGATAGCAATATCAACAAATTTCTGCTCTGGATACGGCCATCGCTGCAGCGGTGTGTAAATGTACCTGTTTAGAGCTGCAGTTGTACATGGTGAATAACTTCCTTGTGAAGCAACAGGTAACCAACCAATACATAGTAAATAACTTCCTTGTGGGGCAACAGGTAACTGACTGATACACAGTGATAATAAAGACATAAGTTATAGTGTAGTACCAAAGGTAGGCCAGTGTAGATTGTGTTTAACAAGTTGACACATACAATGAAGCTTATACAAATCCAATCTGATTAAAACCAGATCTTTGATTCCACTCCCGATACTCTACGCTCCAGTCAAAGATCGTCTGTCAGTAAATGAGTAATACCTAGCTATATAGTATCGTACAGACATTAGATCAATGTCTGATTAAAGGCCTACCTAACAATTGCCTCATCAATATTAAAACATTATATGTATGGTCATAATTTTTAGCTCACCTGGCACGAATGCCAGTGGAGCTTATGGTATGGTGTGTTGTCCGTCAACTTTTTCTTTGTACAACTTCTTCTTAAGAACTGGAGAACCTAGGACCCTAATATTTGGCCAGTAGGCAGCAGGTACCTTGGACAGAGTGCTTTAAAGTTTCCTCAAATAAATGACCTTGTCCTACTTTCAATGTCATGGGTTAAATATGTAAAAACCTTTAAACAATTTCTTTATAACCAGGAGGCCCAGAGTAATGATACTTGGCCAAAAGGTACTTGGCATGAACTGAAATTATGCTCAAATAAATGACCTTGTCCTACTTAAAAGATCATAAGAATCAAATGTGTTTAAAACCTTTGAACATCTTCTGAATAACCAGGAGGCCCAGAGTAATGATATTTGGCTAATAAGTACCTGGGATAGAGTGGTATGAAGTTTCCCTAAATAAATTACTGACCTACTTTCAAGGTCACAGGGGTCAAATATGTAAATATCTTTAAACAACTACTTCTACAATACCAGGAGGCCCTGGATGCTGATATTTGACCTGTATCATGCTGGGACAGAGTAGTTTAAAGTTTCATTTAGTCTGGAACATTCTTAAGCCAAGGAGGCTCAATATATGGAAATATTTTTTCCCATGATTGCTCAAAGATCCAGGTTTGTTATAACCTGATCATTGTGATGTTTCTCAGATCTTTCGCTGATCCTGAAGAATGGGAACCTGCTTGGAAAGGAAGTTCCAGCGAAGCCAACAATTACTATCACGGCTCATAACTCAGGTGTGTAAATAGAGACATCGGTGATCATGCATCTTCAACTGGTTAAAACTGGCTTTTGTTTATGAAGTATCTGGAATGTTCCCTGCCATAATCATCTACGTTCATCATTTTGGGAACAATAAGCTGTTTTAACACAAAAGTTTTTTTTAACCAAATGTGTTAGGCTGTGAACATATCTATGTCATACTTGTGTCATAGGGAACTAGTGAAGTATGTTATATTTCAATTGTGACCTCACAGGATGTTCAACTATGACATCACTATTAGGACAATAGACGTAACGCACTGGACTTCAAAATCGCATCTTTGAAAAGTTGAGGGTGATCAGGGAAAATGGTGTTTAACTTTTGTTTAGTTGTTTAATATGTGCTATAAAGGATCTTAAGTTTCTGGTCTTTTTCATAAGAGATTTTGAAAATTGTCCTGGAGTTTTCATTTTAGCTCAGCAAAGCGTCACTATTATGATGATTTCCAGACTCATTTTGTGACTCATATCAAACTTTGGAACAAGTATTTTTTATATTGCATTAAGGGAATATTCATTTAAGATCATTAATGCTTAAGTAAAAAACCTAAATGAGATATAAAACATAGATTCTGAATTACTCACTGTATAGGGGGGGAATGGAAACAATAGGAGTTTATCTAATTGTTTCATTTGATTGTTTATAGCCAAAACTACGAATGACTTGCAATGTGATGACCTTCCAGATCCGTCGATCACCCCTTCTCGTGGATGGAACAGTCCTCATATAAGTGGTAAGTGGCTAAGGCCAAATAAAAATATAGGTGTGTTCCCTGTTTCAGCTCCAAATAAATAGGGAAAATAAAACATTTGATTTTATTATTTTATTTTTTATTTGGTGAAGAAAATCTCCTGATTACCTCCGTTACTGTTAAAATATGTTATTGTTTTAATAGAGTATGATTGATGTAAAATAAATACACAAATAAAAAAATCCCTGCATTTCTACTTTTTGTGTTGCGCAGGCCTAAACAACACATTGAAGTACACAACGTAAATTATTATTTGACTCACCTAAATGTTTATGGAGTAACCAACTTAATTTACAGTAGTGCTGCCACCCGTGTTACATTTCTAGATTATCCCTACTGCTGGACACTAGTTTTTAGTAATCCAATCTCCACTGACGGTTCTCTTATTTATAACTGATGCTGTCTTCTCAATTTCCTAGGCCACCAGTTCAAATTAATTGAACAACAAAAATAAGTACATTTATATTTACAATATATTTACAGTACAACACAAGTTTTTTGATCCATAATAAAATATACAAGTCTTCATCATTGTGAACTCAATCTCTCCACTCCAAATTTATCTCCGAATTCTATAAACTGTAAAACTACACGTATTTACAAATCACCATTGTGAACTCAATCTCTCCACTCCAAATTTATCTCCAACTATAAACTGTAAAGCTACACAGATTTATGAACTACACCTAAAACTACTATTATTACCAACTTCTAATTCTCACTTTAATTCTAATTTTCTAACTCTCCTCTATATCTCTAGACCTCTCAACTTTGTCTCTCCAACTCCCAACTCCCTCCTCAAAACTCCTTAACTCAACTCCCCAACCCAACTCTCTTCTCCTGCTTCGACTCCGAAGCTGAACTACCTTACTATCTGTCCCTTAGCAAAATAAAATAAAATTGATACACATGTACATTAAAATTGTTGATGCTGCTGAAATCTTGCTAAAATTCGACCCCTATACAACTAGGTTAAGTGGCCATAAATCCTTGCTTAATCAGCATTAGCTGGAGGCACAGACACTGACATCAGAGACTGGCCCCCCCTCCAAGAAAAAAACAAAAAAACAAAGGTGTATTCCACCATCAAATTGAATGCTTTTTGGGACAGGCAGGTTCCTGATATTAATCACGAAATAAAAAATACCCCACTTCTTGATGTATCCTGTGTAACAGGGTTCGCATCAGCCTTGAAAAAGCCTTGAATTTCACTTTGGGCCTTGAAAAGCCCTGAATTTCACTTTGGCCCTGAAAAGCCTTGAATACTGGACTGTGGCCCTGAAAAGCCCTGAATTTCACTTTGGCCCTAAAAAGCCTTGAATACTGGACTGTGGCCCTGCCTGAAAGGCCTTGAATACTGGACTGTGGCCCTGAAAAGCCTTGAATACTGGACTGTGGCCTTGAAAAGTCCTTGAATTTGGTTTGACATTATAATCTATATGAACCCTTATTTGAAAAAGGACATTGACTTACATATCAACTAGCTCCTATTCAAAATTTCTAGGTGAGCAACACAGGTCATATATGTGCATCTTGTTGAGTATACTTTTGGTATGCACACTTTTTCTGCAATCTCCAAATATGCTCTTCCTTAATTGGCATGTAATCTAGAAAGTTAACTGTAATGTTGCATTCACCGTGTCTCGGTTTTTACCGAATTCTTGGGCAAATGGTAGAAGAAATAGGGGCCATCATGTCTTTTGTGAGATGTTTTAATTTTTACCCCCTCTCATGCCCAAAGTATTGGAGAAAAATGGATGACCTAGTGGAAGAAACTTACCCTATCATTTCAAGAAACTGTATAGACAAACACATTATTACTAGACACTGTTGTCAACCAATATCGTGATTTCTAACTTGAATCTGAATGAGGCATTGATTTGTTCAGTGCACCTTACTGATTATAATTTCTGTTTACAGATGACGAGTTACCCGACATTCCAGATGATATAGCAATCCGATGCAACAGTCCAGGTAATGGCTTGTATTGTGCTAGCTCTGGAATGCACTATCAAAATATTTTTATCATTTTATAGCATGGAGTATAATTTTTGTATAAAATTCAAAAAATTGAACCAAAATAGTTTGAAGGACTTGCTATAGTAGAAGGGATAAACAATTACTCTAGCCAGATGCCAAGAACTAGCAGGTTTTATGTCGTACTAGTGAAAGTTTTCAATATCTGCTATCAAAGTAAAGATCAGGCTTGTGGAACTTTTCAAAACCTGCCTGTACTCTAAATATGAAATTATACAACCTTGAATATGTATTTTAATGTCGTTACGACTCGATATTGTTTTGATAGGTACAAGTACATGTGGGAAGTTGTCTGGGCGAACACCTTGCAAAGGAGCGAGGGCCACCCTCATAGTCGCGCCACTGTCTGTGATCAGTAACTGGCATGTAAGTGGATTGACTTCTGTAGAATAGGGTTGACAAGATGTCTTGGTTTCAGCTCCTTTATTTGGTGTACAATATAAGAGTGCTGTTAATTAAAACATGCATCCTTAATATTAAATGTTATACCTTAAATACATAGGACTACTCTAATGCTGGCCAGTTCCACCATCGGGTGGATGGTCTATATAGGGAAACAGAAACAATTTCATATTATCTCCCTTGTATTTTGATTATTGACTGCTATTGTTCCTTTCAAAGGAGAGATGCTTTGTTTATCAATATGCTCATCTTTCAATGCATGATGATACTTTCGCTCCTGAATCCTTTACCATTGTCCATCATATTTAGGTTCTTGCATTGTTTTTAAGAGTCATCAGATGTTTGGGGCCGTGGTGGCCAGAGTGGTTAGGGCGTCTGACATTATGCTACCAATAGCCCTCCTCTACTTGGTCGCGGGTTCAAGGTCTAAGTGGGGCAGTCACCAGGTACTGGCCGTAGGTCGGTGGTATTTCACCGGGAACGCCGGCTTTCTTCCACTACCTAAAACCTGGCAAGTCCTTAAATGACCTTAGCTGTTATTGCCTGTTAATAGGACGTAAAATAAAAACAAACAAACAAACATCAGGTGTTGTATGATATAACCCTTTTGTACACAGAACCAGCTGGAGGATCATATACACGAGAATGCTCACATGGAGATCTACACGTACTACGGGTCATCACGGACCAAGGATCCCACACTCCTCAGTAAACAGGACGTAGTACTCACCACCTACTCCACACTCGCCGCCGATGCCAAGGTAAGCAAGGTCGTGCTTACACATTCAGGAAATTGATATATATCTTAAAAAATGTTGTAATTACTTGACTTGGTTTTCCATCAACATTGTTGAAAAAGTACACAACAGTGTTTTGGAAAATATAAATATATTGCAAGTTCTCTAAAAAAATAAGTTCTTTACAGTAAAATGCTCCGCAGTATTTTGGATTTGTTCTTCTTTTTTAATGTCAGTTATACATGCGCGACGTGTGTGTGTTGTTCTGACTGTAAGGAAAGAATTACCTGGGTGTCTGATATAAGTGTCTGTCATGTGTAACCAGGGTAAGAGCACCCTGCTCAAGGTGGACTGGCTGCGAATTGTGTTAGACGAGGGCCATGCCATCAGGAATCCCAATGCCCAGCAGACCAAGGCCATTTGTCAGCTCAAGGCAGAACGCAAATGGATCCTCACAGGTGAGACTACGATTTCTCTTACCCTGGACAGGTGTATCCACAATTTTACCGGTGTGAGATTATAAGACTCTTTCATGCCCAGGGGTGTAGGATAGGGAAATTCCACCCGAGGTTTTTTTCAAACTTGGTAAAACACTTTGCCGTGGGTTTTGACAAATTTGAAAATCCCGAGGGTGGAATTTCCTTATCTTACACCCTTGGGAATGAAAGAGTATTTTTCTCTCATTCCAATCACCAGAACTGGCTCAGAAATCATGAAAATGTGTTTGGACTGGCCACCATTTTGAAAATATCAATTTTTCCCCTCAGCTTTTTAGACAAAAACGAATCAGCTAGCCAGATTAAGCATATCCCATATTTGCAAACGGTGTTTGCACAGAAAAATTAAGAACATCTTTCTAACATGTACGATAAATATATAATAAAAGGTTTTAATTTCATCACGTTGCCTTTTCCGCATTGTGGTATCAAAGAGTTCCAAATTTGTGACGTCACGTCACTTGAAATGGGGTGTAAGATAGAAATTTCCTACACCCCTTTTTTACCCTGGACAGCTCTATCTTACACACGGGGAAATGAGAGAAATCCTCGTCTTACCCTAGGGTTGAGATGCTGGGGATTCCCCTATTTATAACAATGGTATGACGTGATGTCAACAGTCCAACCCTCGGCAAAACCTCATGTTTGGCAATATAAGAATCTTCCCCCTCCAGTTGAGATTCCCCTATATCTCACCCCCAAGGAGATGTGAGATTCTATTACTCCATTAGCTGTCTTCTCTCTGCTTATTACAATCATAACTTCATTATCAGATTTCTTGTCTGGCACAAATTACTCTATAGTAACTTGAATGGATGAGTGAAATAACCCTCTTTGGGAACATTGTTGTATCATTAGTAAAAAAAATCCTTCCAAATCTCAAGGTTGATCTGAACAAATGTACAACACCTGACCATACCTCACAATATTTGTACTGGATGTTTGAATATAACCTTCAACAAAGAAATTAATACTTCAATAAATAAGCTGAACTTCTATGTGCGGTACATGGTAATTGTGTGCTAGTGAGTGTATACAGTGTATACAGTTAAGTGACCATCAATTGCACAATGCATGATATCAAAAAACTGAGCTAGCTCATATACCTGGATAATAAGTTTGACTCTGATTTATTTTTTCTCTAGTTATCCCTATTTCAATAAGACTGAATTATTTAAGGAATATACAGCCTTGTACAAAATTGTATTAGTTTTCCTAAGGTGGTGTACATGTATATTTCTTACACAGCACCTGGAACCTTCTGTGCTTGGGAGGTGTGGGCTCAGCTCACGGCACCTTGATGTGTGTTGTATAGAGATTGTTGTTTTCCCGACAGCGTTGGGGACAGTATGGATTGTCTGTTTGGCAGTAAAATGCAGATTGAATTAATCCATGACAAAAAAACATCAATACGTGTAAAATCATGGAACATGAAATCCGCAATTTAAAATATTTGAATGTTCTGAATTTTGCAATGAAAGACATTCTGAATACAGTTCTGAGGAAGTTTGATACTGCTCTGTATGAAGTTGTTATGATATTATTTTGATTAATACAGGTACCCCCATACAGAACTCCATGAAGGATCTGTGGTCCCTGGTCAACTTTCTTCAGATAAACCCCTTCACAGACAAACAATGGTGGCGTCGCACCATTGAACGGCCGCTGGACCAAGGAGAGGAAAGTGCCCTCAGGTATGAACTCCTGTATGCATGACTTCCTTAAGATTGCATTCAAAAGCCTCTGCAAAAAAAATGTACCTTATATTATTAAATGCTTTAAGGTATACAATAGTAATTTTTAACCAATTTTTCTATTTAGAAATAAGTATTACAGTAGTAAATAACATAGTGTAGGAAAATGTGGTGTGTGTTATTAGACACTGTCTCTACATGGAAAAGGGAACTGCTCTCAGGTCCCAAAATCAGTTACAATGTGGAGGAAAATCACTCCTGTGTTGTCTGTTTGATATCAGGATATAAAGAGACCGCGCCAATACATCACAGTGATGTTATCCTGTCGTTCAAAAAGATCTTGTGTCAGCGCGGTCAATGGTCCAAGGGAGACAACTCTCCAGAAATTTCACCATAATACTTAAAAAGTACAATTCAAGTGGTATGATACATTGGCAAATCTCAAATAACCCGGACAACCCCAGGTATTAATCACATTTAATTAATGTTTGTTACACAGGAGAGTATGCCACTTGATGTCGGCCATCGCCCTGCGAAGAACCAAGAACCAGAAAATAAATGACAAACCACTGGTGGAACTGCCAGACAGGAAGGTGTTTGTAGAGCACATCAAAATGTCCGAGGAGGAAAGAAATGTTTACGAAGCCATGCAGAATGAGGGCAAGGTCATAGTTAGCAAGTAAGGACAACGAAAGCCATGGTCAGTGTGAAATGGCAAAGTGGTCGGGTGGGGTAGTGGAAAGCGCACTTGCCAAGGCGGCCAGCGTTTGATTCCTCGATCGTACACGAAAAAGTATGAGGTGGCCTGCTCCCTCGATACTCCGGTTTCCTCCCCCTGCGCGCTAACATGCGGGCCAACAAGAATGATAAATATAAGTTGTAAAAACTTGTTTCATAATTGTTGTAAAATAGATAAAGTTTATATATTAAATAGCAAAGTCTGCCAGCATATAAAAGCAAAACACATCCTCAATAATGAGTCCCCACCAGTCTTAATAATATTTACTTAGAAAAACAGGAAATATTTACATGTATGTGATAGCCCTTGTAAAAGTACAAGTTCCCGAAGAACATGCATCTTCTTCATAGATGAAACAAGGCACACAAATGAGCTTAAGTCATTCACCCCTGAAGACATATTTGAACTCTTCCAATTCAATGGTTGTAATAGTTCATTATGAAATTTCAGGGGTGAATGAGTAAACCATAAACATCGGCCTTAATATTACCCCGGTAAATAAAACCTTTCTCAATGAGATCATGACGTCAACCATGAAACTTGCCTTTAATCTTCATCAACCGTCATTGTAATAAGTTGATGATCTAGTGAGTTTTTTAGCTCCTGCCATTCTGTAGGGGACATATACATTTGTAGTTTCCTGTCTGTTCTTGATTCAGCTCTAGTGACATCATTTCTTAATGGTGTTTTATCAAACTGTATACAAAGGGAAAGCTTGGGAATACCTTGTGATTTGTTTTCAGGTGGAATTTTAGCAAACGAAGTGGGTTATTGCAGGTTTAGTTCATGGTTATATCCAAGTTTACTGTAATCTTAAAAGAAAACAAAAAATGGCCCAGAATATCTTGTGATTTCATTTCTTAATAGATTCAATACATTATCATTCAATCTAATTTCTCCAGTATGATATTACCTAAAAACTATTTGTATTACAAGGTGAAAGTCAATGTTACTATTATCAAATAATTAAAATTAATTTTATATAGCTTCAGAGGCATTCTTGTCTTGCAGGTATTTGCTAGCTTATACACCTGATACACTTAAATGTTGTTTGGCTCCAGGTACTTCAGACAGGGGACACTACTCCACAACTATGGCGAGGTGTTAGCCATCCTGATGAGACTCAGACAACTGTGCTGTCACCCTTTGCTCATTGCTAAGGCAGCTGCTGCTGTGAAAGAAGTCTTAGGTAACATGGTTAATTCAGAGCAAAAAATGCGGAAGGGAGACTAAGGTGTTGTTTTTTCGTCGGCATCAACATTAAGTTTTTGTGTTAAAGTTAGTTTCACTGAAAATGTAAGTGCTAGACCAACCAAACTTGGGCCATAGATGCACCTTAGGTAATACATCTCAACCCATGCATCAAATGATGGATACAGCCTACCTTCCATACTAATTATTTTTAACATATTCAGGTGAGCAATACGGGCCTCTTGTTTATAGCATGTCAGCTTACCACTCTTAGAATGATGCAGATCGTACTTCAATGTAAGAAAGTAAATAACACTATATGGCATTCGACGGGCGTATATTGTTCTGCCCCGTGGTACTCTTGTTAATCATTTAATACATCTATATCCGTGGAATATCTTTAAAGTTGACCTATTTAACAGACTCTCCTTTGAATCTGAGACATTAATAATAATAATCACAATCATTTAATTTCTTTTCTTTAATGTATAAAGTATATATGTAGTTATGACAGCAATAGATACAGCATTTCTTTGTGATTATAACTTTTTCACATAATTTACAAAGCAATCAAATCACAAAATATATTGACATATCAAAATTTGATTTTGAAGAAAATTGAACTTGACACCTTACTAAAATAGTAGAAGGTGTTTACTGTTTGAAAAGATGTTATCAAACCTTTGTTTTGTAGAAAATGTGGAAGCAGCATCTTCATCAGGAAATGATGGCCTGAGTACTGAATTACGGGAAAAGCTGATTAGTGCCCTGCTAATGGTACTGGGGTCTGGATCAGACGAGGAGTGTGCTATCTGTCTGGATATGCTCAAAGAACCAGTCATCACACATTGCGCCCATGTCTACTGTCAAACCTGTATAGGGGCAGTCATCAGAACTGACAAGGTATAGGTCACAAACACAGTGGGGCACCGCCATTCACTTCCGTTATATTTTCTTCCAGTAAGTCTCATCCCTAATACAAATACTGTATATTAAATCAGACGATTAATATGGATAGGTATTTTCCAGGATCTCTAAGCTTCAGTGCAAATATTTCCATCTTTTTGGCAGCTTAATTGTTGTTATCTCGATATTATTCCCTGTGTGTATTTGCGTAGGTTTGTTTTCTAACTGTCTTTCTGTAACAAAGAAATTATGAAACTAAATTTAAGTGTTAAGTTTGATAAAACCTTGAAAAAAATTCCTTCATGATACATCTAGAAACCTTATGTTTAATAACCCAGATCGGAGATGTGGGTGCCAGATAGTAATGACGTTGTCCATCTGTCTGTCAGTCCATAATTTCGTTCCTGGAGATTATCTCTGAAACCAAAAGACAAATCTTTTTGAAATTTGACATGGTAATACACTGTGATATGCAGATGTGCAATAGGGGTGTAAACTTTGTCTAAGGTCAAGGTCACTTACTTAAAATAGACAGTTGAGGGATCTTAATTTTGGAATCCACTAGTCTTATCTTTTTGCAATTTGACATGGTGTCCTTGATACACTGATATGTAGATGTGCAATAGGGGTTTAAAGAGTTTTTAAGGTCAAGGTTACTGTTACTAAAAATAGCACGGAGGGGTATTGGTAATGGGCATGACGTGAGGCCCTTGCGGACCTGTCAGTGTTCTAGTTTTGGGAAACAAGTGAGTTCATTTCCTGCACATGTAGAAATTCATGTAAGTAAGACTGAACAAAAATGAAATGGTGTAATCAGGACTAGGGTTTAAAAGTTGGTATACTTTTCAACAGCCAAAATGCCCGTTGTGCCGTGGAGACATTGACGAGAGTAAATTACTTGAGGTCCCCCCAGAACAACTCCAGGAACCTGAAGATTGTGAAGATGATGTGATCACATCAGAAAACTGGAAGTCAAGTTCAAAAGTAAGGTGTCTTTATTAGGTACTGGCATATTTTAGCTCACCTGGCCCGAAGGGCCAAGTGAGCCCATGCCTCGGTGCGGCGTCTGTCAATGCACCTGGTTAAGAAGAATTGCTCTCATCTATATCTTGCCTACTACAAGTGCTATGTTGATTATAGTTGCATCAATTGTGTACCTAGGGTTGCTGTACTGAATTCATATTGTGTATATATGCTGATTTTGATCTATACATTGAATTGCTCTCATCTTTATCTTGCCTACTACAAGTGCTATGTTGATTATAGTTGCATCAATTGTGTACCTAGGGTTGCTGTACTGAATTCATATTGCGTATATATGCTGATTTTGATCTATACATTGAATTGCTCTTATCTATATCTCGCCTACTACAAGTGCTATGTTGATTATACTTGCATCAGTTGTGTTTCTAGGGTTGCTCTTCTGAATGCATATTGCTGATGCTGATTTTGACCTATGTTTTACACTTTATTGACTTGGTTAAGAAGAATTGCTCTCATCTTTATCTTGCCTACTACAAGTGCTGTGTTGATTATACTTGCATCAATTGTGTTTCTAGGGTTGCTCTTCTGAATGCATATTGTGGATGCTGATTTTGACCTTTAGTTTACGCTTCATGTTTTAATGACTTTTGCACTGCGAGTGGGGGATATCGATGACAGCATCTTCTTCTTTTTTTCATAACATAAACAGCATTTCTGTTGATTCCACTTCAGCTTTATTCAACTTCGTATCGACTATCCGGAAGGATGCATGCACCGTACTAATTGTTAGGGCAGTTATTTTCTCCTTTGAATACTTCCCACCTGCAATTAAGCTACCCTAACTTAATCCTTGCTTTATCTTTTCAGCAACTCTTTGCTTAATAGCTAACGTGGTAACGGTTTTCATTCGCTAACACTTCCTACGGCAAGTTATTTTGTTTACAATGAAATGGCGTGTTATGCAGATGTGTTATTAGATGTAACGCCAAAATCTACAATGTAAACTGTCTGACCAAACGGGATAAGGAATCCCCTCTGTTATAAGTTAGTTATTTTTTATGAATATGTAACGGCGAAATCCACCTGTTTTTCCATTGGGAGATTCACTTGATACATTAATGCAGTATTTTAAAAAGTCCTTAAAATATACTTCATCGTGATGTCGCTTTGATGCCATTAGAGACTAATTATTAGAATATACCTGTTGTAATTCTCCTGTGATCTTTTGATACACAGGTAGACGCCGTGATCAATGCTCTGGTCACCCTTCGAGAGGAGGATAACACCATTAGAAGTCTGGTGGTCTCACAATTTACATCTCTCCTTAGTCTTCTGGAAATACCACTGCGGTAATTACTTAATTAATATATTTGAAGATTTGCTGCAATTCATCTGTGCTTTTAATTTTGCAGCAAAAGTCTTGTATTGCCAGTAAAATATTTATTTGAAGAAGTAAAATCAAGATATTCACCATTCAAGGCTGGTTGGATGTCACATCAGTTTTCTGACAGTGAAATTTGTTGAAACCTCACAAAATGTAGAACACACTAGTTGTTACATTCCTGATATGTGAAAAGTGTTCAGTTCTTCATATGCAGTTTCTTTGGCCCATACTTTACTCCATATATGGCACAAAACAAGGTTTGATAGATGGATTTTAAAGACAGACCTAGGCTAGTACTACCTGTCAGAGAAATAAATTAGTTCAGTCATTGAAAGAAATTCTTCATCAGAAAGTTGCAATTGCTAACATGGTGTATTAGTGTAGTTAATATTTTATTCCATTTCATAAAAAAAAATCTCAAAATCTGATTGTTGGAAATATTGCAATTTATTTAAAAAATGATTTGGTGAAATATTTTTGAAATATTTCATTTTATTTAAAAAATATTTTGCTTAATAAAAGATACAATTTTAAACAAAAAAATTGAGCTCTTTATCTCGTTGGGAAGTGAAGCAAAATAATGCCATGCACTACTGCATTGTGATGCATATACGGGGAAAAGATAACACATAAAACAGTTGAGAAGAATACTATGCAGGCTTGAGGTAAGCTAATGAAGTAATTGTCACCTCAGCATGTCTAATTATATTACTCTCTACTCAATGTACATATTAAGATTTGAAGTGTTTTAACCTAGAACATTTAATAATGTTAGTCAGTTGATGATACTCCTTCAAGCATTCAACCATGTACTGTATTTCAATGAAAATGCAAGAAACGTTTGTATACTTTTTTTTAAATGAAATTTTCAGGTAACTTATATAATGAAAATTCTTAAATGATGTAGAATAATATGCAGAATAAATACCAGGCCTGAAATTTGGCCAACTTTGAAAATAACCTTTGAATTTCTTAATTTAAACAAAAGAAGATTTTGAGCATTTCTGTGATATTAAGGCAGTTTAAAAAAAATGTAGACAAAAATCATATCTTTATCTCTGTGAATTAAATGTACTTTAGTTTCATCCATTGAAGCTAAAAATGTATAAAAGTGATTAATCATTTTCAGAGCCAGAGGCTTCAGATTTACACGCCTGGACGGTACCATGAGTCTGAAGATGAGGATAAGGGCTGTTGAAGAATTCATGGACCCCAGTCCTGTGGCACCTACTATCATGTTACTGTCCCTCAAGGCTGGGGGTGTTGGCATTAATCTCACCTCAGCATCTAGGGTGTTTCTCATGGACCCAGTAAGTAATGGAGAGAAATGGGCAGCATATATTACTGTCCTTTACAACACTATATATGTTTCTCAAATTCCGTGTGTGTAAGGTGGAGCTGCGGGTAAGAAAGGGGTGTAAGAAATTTCTATCTTACCCCATCTTACGTGACGTGATGTCACAATGGTGCAACAATGACGTGGCGTCATGAATTTGGAAAACTCTGATGCCACAAAGCGGAAAAGGCGATGTAATAAAATTAAAACCTTTTATGATATACTTACCATACAGGCTAGAAAGGTGAAATTGGTTTTTCTGTGCAAACATTGTTTGCAAAATGGAGTATGCTTAATCTCGCTGACGGATTCGTTTTTGTCAAAAATGCTTTGGGGGAAAATGATATTTTCAAAATGGTAGCCAGTTCCAACGCATTTTCATGGCTTCTGAGCTTATTTTGGTAGTTGGAATGAGAGAAAAATACTCTTTCATGCCCAAGGATGTAGGATAGAAAAATTCCACCTTCAAGGTTTTCAAATTTGGCAAATCCCTCGGTAAAGCCTGATATAGATGATATATCGCCCTCATGATCACTTGAGGCTTTATTGAGATTTTCATGGACCCAGTACGTACAATGAGGAAAAGGTTTGTGACTTTCCTTTAAGGCACTGGGTTCCACATCAACTTTACCTCAGTCTCCAAGGTGCTGCTGCCTCTCTCAAGTGGAAGAAGAATGAGGTTTCTGTCAAAAAATTGTCATTAGTAAATTTCTGGGCGTTAGATTGAAGCACATGTCCGGTCATGTATTCAATCTTGCCTATATCCACCACAGTGTGTATGTAGTTTACTTATATCCATCACATGTTTTTTGAGCAAAGGTTGAAACAAATTAAAAACTCCTTATTTCCCTTGGTTAAATACTGTAAGTTACATATATTCGATGAAAGTTGATATTTTGACATCGGCTTTGGAAATAGATCATTAATGATTTGCAAAAAACTTTTTGATAATAATAATAATAATTTGAGGTTCTTATATACCGCTTTATCACAACCTAGTTTGTAGGTTGTCTCAAGCGATTCACAAATTATTTCCGTGGTTATAGGGCCTTTGCAACTAGCCAATATCTTTCTCAACTCCAAGGGAAGCATACAGCTGGTGCTGCCATTTCAGCGCTCACAGCTAACATTCAACAGTTCTAGTACTGCCCAACCACATACTTATTTACAGCTGAGTAGACTGGAACAAGATACGACATAGTGCCATGCTGTGACTCGAACCCGCAACCCTTCGGTCACAAGCCGGGCGTCCTACCACTAGACTACCGTGCCTCCTCTGATATATTTAACTAAGGGATATATTTATATAGAGGATCTCATACTACATGGGTTAATATGCACAAAATTATGACATGGGTATATTCACTGGATAACACAGTACATTATGTGATAAAAATGTATGCTACGACTAACATGCACTGATTGATGTTCACTTGCAAATACATGTACATGTAAAAGTTATGTGATTTATGTAATTGTCACCTCAGAATAAACTGAGTTGGCTTGGTCAGTTGCCTCAAAGATATGGTGTTAATACTATAAGCCCTGTAGGGTGGGAGCTAGTTCACATGATTTGATGTTTTGTCAGGTCTGTACAACAGGGGAGGTAGCTCACAAACTGCAGTGTTTACCAACCCAGTGGGACAGGGAAGGCAAGTCGACCGATGTGATGTTTATCAGCCTAGTGTGACATAAAATTGACTTGCACAATGAAGATCTACTACATATTACAGGGGGAACAAAAATATATAATATGAGATGTATTGTAGAGAAACATGGTGTCTCACACTATCTCTGTATGTGGTTTGAATCCAGCACCCAGCACCGGAACTTTATATTAAGACAAGGGAGGTAAATAACTTGTGTGTAAAGTGTGAAGACAGGATGTGAAGAGACTTTGCCGAAATGTTGTAGCAATTGTGCCAACTTAGTAAGCTGTCAAAGGGAGATAACTCTCCCAAAATTCACTTTAATATTGTATCTTCCTATCTTTTCTTTTCAGGCATGGAATCCGGCTGCAGAGGAGCAGTGTTTTGATAGATGTCATCGTCTAGGACAAAAGAGAGACGTCATTATTACAAAGGTATGAATGAGAGGATTAGCTGGTTATCTGTTATCATGTTGAATTTTTTAGGTCACCTGAGACAAAGTCTCAAGTGACCAATTGCGATCGCCTTTTGTCCGGCGGCGTCCGTCATCCGTCATGCGTCCGTAAACAATTTACATTTTCGACTTCTCCAAAACCCCTGAACCAATTTTCAATGAAATTTTACAGGAACCTTCAATGGCCAAAGGTCAACTAAAATTGTGAATTATATGGTCCCCAGCCCCCAGGGGCCTGAGGGACGGGGCCAAAAAGGGTCAAATACTAAAATTGTGAATTTCTTGACCCTGGGGAGGGGGTAAACTTTACTAAAGTTTATATAGGGAAATCACATTTTGGACCAACATTTGTTTAATTGCCATTGGAAGTAATTCAATTTAGGTTAGCATTATCAGTATTGGGTAGCAGTTTGATAGTATGTACATATCAGCCCTGACTGACCCCCAGGGGCTGATGGATG